ATGTGAAATTAGTTCCCGGATGGTGTTCCCGCCTGACCCGTGGCGATTAACCTGATCAACCAGGCTGTGACTCATACGTCAGGCTGCGAGCAGCCGCGTCTAACAGCCTGGTTGATCAGTCCAGCAACCAGGAGGCCTGGTCGACGACCGGGCCGCGGGGACGCTAAGCCCCGGAAGCACCTCTAGGTAACCTCAAGGTAAGGTGGCACTGTGGGATGTCACGGTGCCCAAACTGTACAGTGTGTCTCCTCTTGGTGGTCTTCACAATGGCTGGAGGTTCAGGCGACACCTGTGGAATGTCTTATTCTCAGTAGTCCGAGTGTGTGTGTGTGTGTGTGTGTGTGTGTGTGTGTGTGTGTATTCACCTAGTTGTGCTTGCGGGGGTTGAGCTCTGGCTCTTTGGTCCCGCCTCTCAACTGTCAATCAACAGGTGTACAGGTTCCTGAGCCTATTGGGCTCTATCATATCTACACTTGAAACTGTGTATGTGTTTGTGTGTGTATTCACCTAGTTGTGCTTGCGGGGGTTGAGCTTTGCTCTTTCGGCCCGCCTCTCAACTGTCAATCAACTGTTACTATTAACTAATCCCGCCCCCCCCCCCCGGCAGGAAGCAGCTCCGTGACAGCTGACTAACTCCCAGGTACCTATTTACTACTAGGTAACAGTTGCATCAGATTGAAACAAACTCAGCCCATTTCTTCCCACCAACACCGGGGATTGATCTCCCGGTCCTCAGGACTAAGAATCCAAGGCGGTGTCCACTCAGCCACCAGGACCCCGCGTGCGTGCGTGAGCACCATACACTGTCAAGACTTGGCAACATTCTCCGTCAATGCAACAGCAGTAAAATTTGCACACGGCAAGATGATGATGATGTTAAAGATTCGCTACCTGGAACAATGTCCCAAGTAGCACGGGATATGGTGAGCCCGTAATCCCCACACGGCAAGAGCGGAAGAGGCTGAAGTTGATATTCAATTTCCAAGAGGTAATAACGAGGCCATCGCCAACACCGGCTTCAATTCCCCTTAACGGCATCACGGGGGATTCCACGAGCACAAAAGAGCCGATTTGGCCGGAAAAAGACAGGCGACGAAGAGCTGGGGTAATGCTGTTTATTGACAGGTAAACTCCGGCCAGACAGACGGTCACTACTCAACAACGCTGCTTTCTGTCTCTCTCTCTCTCTCTGTCAGCCGTACATTCCCTCTAATAGACAGTCAACCTTCGCTCATTGGCGTCATAGATATCTCTAAACTTAAGCTTATTCACCTCTCTCTCTCTCTCTCTCTCTCTCTCTCTCGTGTGTAGCTAAGCACCAGCACCAGGTGGGGGAGGGGGATGAACATAGTAACACACAGAACAAATGTGTGTGTTACACATTTGTTCTGTGTAACACACTTCAACACTATATTGCGCACTATGCTTTAGTGCGCAATATAGTGGAGGTGATGAGAGCGGCCGGTGAAGAGGCCTCTTGCTTGTAGCTCTACAGGAAACGTACGTGTGTGTGTGTGTGTGTGTGTGTGTGTGGGGGGGGGGGGGGAGGGTAATGTTTTAGAGGGGGGGGGGGTTGAGCTTCGGTTCATGGGACCCGGTAGCCACCGTTTAGTTCATGGATATATTTTAACATACCGTGTATTAAAAAGCAGTTTTTTCCTAATTTATATATTTATATCATTATATATTAAAGCTCCATGTATAGGTAGGCGTGAATTAGGTTAGGTGTATAGGTTGTTGGCGATTATTTGCGCTTCCAAGTATGTGGGTGAAGCATTGACAGCGTTGTGGTTCGAACACAGGTCGTCAGCGAAGCGTTGTGGTTCGAACACAGGTCGTCAGCGAAGCGTTGTGGTTCGAACACAGGTCTTCAGCGAAGCGTTGTGGTTCGAACACAGGTCGTCAGCGAAGCACAGTTCGGGAAGTGTTCGAACGTCATCAGCTGTGAGTCGCGTGTCAAGCGCTTTTTCATTCCTAAAACAGCGACTTTGGCGCGAGGATTAGCGCGCCTTTGGTCTCTGTCAGCGAAGACGGTCTGTTGTGGCTAGGCCTGGTTGCGACAGAGAGAGAGAGGAAAGTCCTAATGGCCTAACCTGAACCATTGTAAGTCAAGCTACACACACACAGCCCCTGTTACCTAGCAGTAAATAGGTACCTGGGAGTTGGTCAGCTGTCACGGGCTGCTTCCTGGAGTGTGTGTGGGGTGTGGAGAGAGAGAGAGAGAGAGAGAGAGAGAGAGAGAGAGAGAGAGAGAGAGAGAGAGAGAGAGAGAGAGAGAGAGAGAGAGAGAGAGAGAGAGAGAGAGACAGAGAGAGAGAGAGAGAAACAATGCACCAACACAAAGAGGCAAGTAAGACATGCTCCGTTTGTCGCCGTCGCACTAATTAATATAATGGTTCAGGTAGACCTTCCCTCTCCCCACCCCCAGTAGCCTGTGTCCCATCTGTGTCCCAACTGTGTCCCAGCGCTATCAAACACCGCCTCAGGGCCAGGAATCTGTGAATGTAATCACTGCCCTCCCGTACACACACACACACACACACACACACACACACACACACACACACACACACACACACACACACACACACACACAAGATTCTGAAGGGGATTGATAGGGTAGATAAAGACAGTCTATTTAACACAAGGGGAACACGCACAAGGGGACACAGGTGGAAACTGAGTGCCCAAATGAGCCACAGAGATATTAGAAAGAACTTTTTTAGTGTCAGAGTGGTCGACAAATGGAATGCATTAGGGGGTGATGTGGTGGAGGCTGACTCCATACACAGTTTCAAGTGTAGATATGACAGAGCCCGATAGGCTCATGAATCTGTACACCTGTTGATTGACGGTTGAGAGGCGGGACCAAAGAGCCAGAGCTCAACCCCCGCAAACACAACTAGGTGAGTACACACACACACACACACACACACACACACACACACACACACACACACACACACACACACACACACACCCTGGCGATCAGGGCAGGTTTCTCTCCAGGGGCCCAAAGCTAGGTTAGGTTAGGTTAGGTAAAGGCTGTTACCCATGCACCAGGTCCCTCTTCAGTTATACCAAGGAGAAATACCCTATTCATTATACCCAAGATGAGGAGATATATTCATTCATTCTACTCAAATTGATGAATTATTCACTCTACCCGATAGACCAGTCCACGCGGCATTATCTATCGTCGAAATTATTACCGAGATCAATGCTTACTGGAGGAGACAAACACACAAAGAGACAAACGCAACATCTTAGTGCAGGATCAACAACTAATCGAACCGCGACCCGGATTTAAGTAACTTTTAATTGCAGAGAAAAATGGCCGTATTCTAAAACTGATGCTGAGCAGTTTACAACATTCATGTTCAATAATTTACAACACTAATAGAGAGCAGTTTACAAGTGTAAACCAAACCACCAGTACACAATAGTACTGGTCAAGACACACAATATGTCTGTGTGTACAAAACAAGAAGGTAAATTTACTTAAATATTATCAATAACGATAAGTAACTTACTTTATTGTAGTATAAGACACCACACAGGTACATGACCTTTTCCCCCTCCTAGGTACAACAGGTGCAACAGGTACAACAGGTACAACAGGTGCAACAGGTGCAACAGGTGCAACAGGTGCAACAGGTGCAACAGGTACTCTGAGAGAGAACTATCAACATCAGAGGCCCGAGACTGTTCAACACGCTTCCACTACACATAAGGGGCATAACTGGCCGACCCCTCACAGTGTTCAAGAGAGAACTATCAACATCAGAGGCCCGAGACTGTTCAACACGCTTCCACTACACATAAGGGACATAACTGGCCGACCCCTCACAGTGTTCAAGAGAGAACTATCAACATCAGAGGCCCGAGACTGTTCAACACGCTTCCACTACACATAAGGGGCATAACTGGCCGACCCCTCACAGTGTTCAAGAGAGAACTATCAACATCAGAGGCCCGAGACTGTTCAACACGCTTCCACTACACATAAGGAGCATAACTGGCCGACCCCTCACAGTGTTCAAGAGAGAACTATCAACATCAGAGGCCCGAGACTGTTCAACATGCTTCCACTACACATAAGGGACATAACTGGCCGACCCCTCACAGTGTTCAAGAGAGTACTATCAACATCAGAGGCCCGAGACTGTTCAACACGCTTCCACTACACATAAGGGACATAACTGGCCGACCCCTCACAGTGTTCAAGAGAGAACTGGATAAGCACCTCCAAAGGATACCTGATCAATCAGGCTGTGACTCATACGTCAGGCTGCGAGCAGCCGCGTCTAACAGCCTGGTTGATCAGTCCAGCAACCAGGAGGCCTGGTCGACGACCGGGCCGCGGGGACACTAAGCCCCGGAAGCACCTCAAGGTAACCTCCTAAACCTGTAAACACACACACACACACACTGTTGAATCTGTACACCTGTTGATTGACGGTTGAGAGGCGGGACCAAAGAGCCAGAGCTCAACCCCCGCAAGCACAAATAGGTAAGTAAACCTGAAGATAAAACTCGGTTAGCCTTTTTCCATTCAAATGGGGGGGAGGGGGGGAGGTTGGGGGGGGGAGGGGTGGAGGCTGGGGGAGGGGGGTGGAGGTTGCGGAGGGGGGTGGAGGTTGAGGGGAGGGGTGGGGGTTGGGGGGACGGGGTGGATGCATGGAGGAGGTTGAAACAAAAAGCTTCCATTAAGGTGATTACATCGCTTGGACTATAGCCCTATTCACGGCTTCCACCGCACCTGCAGTTGGCAACGAAGGCTTCACCACACAAGAGGAAGGCTTCGCCGCCTACGTCAATAACCACGAGGGCTTCACTGGGAATACGGCATTTACGAAGCTTCGTTAAAATGCAAATTACAAAGGTTTCACTACGTACGAGGGGCTCCCCCTCTCGATTTGCCTTAAGTCTACCTTGAATAATAAACAAAGACGTATAGAAAACGGACACGTACACAAACCCAACGTTGCCAAACCTACCTGACAACACTGTTGATAAGCTTCTGTGCTTGTTCTGGTGTGGGCGGCGGCCAGTCGTCTCCAGGCTGGTGGCCCGGGCCGCCCCACATACCGGCCATCAGGGCCGGATGGGGGGCACCAGGGCCGTAGTCCAGCGGGTAATCCAACGGGTAATCCGGCGGCAAGAAATCCGGATGGATGTACTCCGGCACGGGGATGTCCCCCGGATAGACTTGATGGGGCGGCAGGAAGGGCTGGTCTGGCCCAATCCTCGGGTCGGGTATGTATCCCACGTCATACGGGTAGAGCGGGTAGGGCGGGTATTCCATGGGTAGGAACGGGGGACCCACCGGGATACCCTGGGACACGGGGGACAGTCTACCCGCCGCCATGGGACCAATTTGACCCACTGACGGGTAGCTCATCAAGTGAGGGAACCGGATCGGATCATGCGGGAATGGCTCGTCCATATACCGCGGGTCGATTAACCGCGGGTCAACCATTCTAGGGTCGACCATTCTTGGGCCAATCATTCTTGGGTCAACCATTCTTGGGTCAACCATTCTTGGGTCGACCATTCTTGGGTCGACCATCCTTGGGTCGTACATACTAGGATCGACCAAGCGTTGGTCGAGTAAGTGTTCCTGGTAGGTCGAATGGTCGAGCCATCTATCCGAGGACCTAGACCGGCGCCTGCGACCCTGATCCTGACTATGTCTCCTAGCCTCCACATCCCCTGACCGACTCTTCCTCAAGTGGCGAGGTTCCCTGACGTCCCTAGCCGCGTCCCTGGGACCCCTGATGGCGTCCCTAGAGCGTCCCCGGCTAGTATCCCTAGGGGGACGGGGCTTGGAGATCATTTCACGCAAGTCGACACTCGTCAGATCGCCCGAACTGGACGACAAATCATCGCGACGGAGCCGCGTATCCTCGCTACGCTGTCGGCGCGGCTGCCTCCGCGAATCATCTTCGTGACGCCGTAATCTTGCCCTGTCCTCCGACATCTGTCTCCTGACGCCGCCGCCGCTTTTAGCGGCGGGGGAGATGAGAATAGTGGCAGGAGGCGCTGCGGCGGCCTCCTCATCCGGATGCTGCGGCCCGCAGACGTCGGAATTAATCTCCTGATACTCATGACTCGACGGGGATGAGGAGCCGGATCCGGGGCGGGGCAAACGGGTCTTCCGGGGCAGTTCCGGCGGCGCGGGAGCCGGTTCTCGGGGTTTCAGGGTCCGGTCTATGGGCGGCGGGGCTGACGGTGGGGCTGACGGTGGGGCCAGGTCGGGGGTGTTGAGGGTAACGTCAACGGCTGACGACTCATCGTTGGTGTCAGTCTCCACGTCATCAAACTCTGACAACACGCGGTCCAACACGTCCAGGCTCTGGCGGATCTCCTCGCTGCTGTGGAAGAGAAAAGAAACAGAGTTAGGTAATGTGTGAGGAGAAAGCATGAGGAGATGCCCAGCATGAGGAGATGCCCCAGCATGAGGAGATGCCCCAGCATGAGGAGATGCCCAGCATGAGGAGATGCCCAGCATGAGGAGATGCCCCAGCATGAGGAGATGCCCAGCATGAGGAGATGCCCAGCATGAGGAGATGCCCAGCATGAGGAGATGCCCCAGCATGAGGAGATGCCCCAGCATGAGGAGATGCCCCAGCATGAGGAGATGCCCAGCATGAGGAGATGCCCAGCATGAGGAGATGCCCCAGCATGAGGAGATGCCCCAGCATGAGGAGATGCCCCAGCATGAGGAGATGCCCCAGCATGAGGAGATGCCCCAGCATGAGGAGATGCCCAGCATGAGGAGATGCCCAGCATGAGGAGATGCCCAGCATGAGGAGATGCCCAGCATGAGGAGATGCCCCAGCATGAGGAGATGCCCCAGCATGAGGAGATGCCCAGCATGAGGAGATACCCCAGCATGAGGAGATGCCCCAGCATGAGGAGATGCCCCAGCATGAGGAGATGCCCCAGCATGAGGAGATGCCCAGCATGAGGAGATGCCCAGCATGAGGAGATGCATGAGGAGATGCCCAGCATGAGGAGATGCCCAGCATGAGGAGATGCCCAGCATGAGGAGATGCCCAGCATGAGGAGATGCCCCAGCATGAGGAGATGCCCCAGCATGAGGAGATGCCCCAGCACGAGGAGATGCCCCAGCATGAGGAGATGCCCCAGCATGAGGAGATGCCCAGCATGAGGAGATGCCCCAGCATGAGGAGGATGCCCAGCATGAGGAGATGCCCACCATGAGGAGATGCCCCAGCATGAGGAGATGCCCCAGCATGAGGAGATGCCCCAGCATGAGGAGATGCCCCAGCATGAGGAGATGCCCCAGCATGAGGAGATGCCCCAGCATGAGGAGATGCCCCAGCATGAGGAGATGCCCCAGCATGAGATGCCCCAGCATGAGGAGATGCCCCAGCATGAGGAGATGCCCCAGCATGAGGAGATGCCCCAGCATGAGGAGATGCCCCAGCATAAGGAGATGATGCCCAGCATGAGGAGATGCCCAGCATGAGGAGATGCCCCAGCATGAGGAGATGCCCCAGCATGAGGAGATGCCCCAGGAGGATGCCCAGCATGAGGAGATGCCCCAGCATGAGGAGGATGCCCAGCATGAGGAGATGCCCCAGCATGAGGAGATGCCCCACCATGAGGAGGATGCCCAGCATGAGGAGATGCCCCAGCATGAGGAGATGCCCAGCATGAGGAGATGCCCCAGCATGAGGAGATGCCCAGCATGAGGAGATGCCCCAGCATGAGGAGATGCCCAGCATGAGGAGATGCCCCAGCATGAGGAGGATGCCCAGCATGAGGAGATGCCCAGCATGAGGAGATGCCCCAGCATGAGGAGATGCCCAGCATGAGGAGATGCCCCAGCATGAGGAGGATGCCCAGCATGAGGAGATGCCCAGCATGAGGAGATGCCCCAGCATGAGGAGGATGCCCCAGCATGAGGAGATGCCCAGCATGAGGAGATGCCCAGCATGAGGAGATGCCCCAGCATGAGGAGATGCCCCAGCATGAGGAGGATGCCCAGCATGAGGAGATGCCCCAGCATGAGGAGATGCCCAGCATGAGGAGATGCCCCAGCATGAGGAGATGCCCCAGCATGAGGAGATGCCCAGCATGAGGAGATGCCCCAGCATGAGGAGATGCCCCAGCATGAGGAGATGCCCCAGCATGAGGAGATGCCCAGCATGAGGAGATGCCCCAGCATGAGGAGATGCCCCAGCATGAGGAGGATGCCCAGCATGAGGAGATGCCCCAGCATGAGGAGATGCCCAGCATGAGGAGATGCCCCAGCATGAGGAGATGCCCCAGCATGAGGCATGACTATATATCACTTACAAGGAATAAAGAAACAGTTGAAACAAGTTTTTTGTTGTTTGCAATCAAGTTACTGCAGTGGAATCAAGTTAAGTCAACAACTTACTGTTATAGGCGACATTGCTTACTGAAACTGATAAAGCATTTAAAATCACAAAATATATTAACGTTAACTAGGCCTATATAAATCACCAAACATAGGTCTGTATATTCCCCAAATCATCCCAACTTGACAACGTAGGCCCACTCAATCACAAAACATCCCAATTCAATATGAAGTAGGCCTAAATAATCCCTAACATACCAAATTAACAATCATGCCTTTATATTCAGTAAACATAAATTAACATCAAGTAGGCCTATATACACAGCAAAAATCCGTACCTAATAAAGTTTGCCATAACGAGGGAGAGGGAGAATGGAGAGGGGGATAGGGGAGAGTGGGGGTGAGGGGGAGAGAGGGGGAGAGAGGGGGGAAAGGGCAGGGAACTATCAGGGGGGAAAGCGCCAAGCCATTACGACTATATAGCACTGGGAAGGGGTCAGAATAAGGATTAGGGATGGGACGGGGGGGGGGGGGGAAGAATGGTGCCCAACTTCTTGGACGGTCGGGGATAAGAGGGGGGAGAGAGGGGAAAGAGGTCGATGCCTCTGTTCACCCAACAGAACACACAGGCACCTGGGAAGTTAGACAACTGTTGTCAACTCAACTCGGCCTCCTAATAGAACAGTCGCATTTTTGACGTACACACTACCTAAGGAACCATAATCGTCGTACTAGACAAATAGATGCTGCTCGAATTGATATATTGTCCCGTTTTCTGTTTTGGGTTCTCTGGTAGGTTAGGATAAGGGCACTTTAGTACGACATTTTCTTGACGGTGGGGAGACCTTAGGGGCAAGGGATGGTGAGCTGCATCCTGTGTGTGTAGTCACCTAGTTGTGCTTGCGGGGGTTGAGCTCTGGCTCTTTGGTCCCGCCTCTCAACCGTCAGTCAACTGGTGTACAGATTCCTGAGCCTATTGGGCTCTATCATATCTACACTTGAAACTGTGTATGGAGTCAGCCTCCACCACATCACTGCCTAATGCATTCCATTTGTCAACCATTCTGACACTAAAAAAGTTCTTTCTAATATCTCTGTGGCTCATTTGGGCACTCGGTTTCCACCTGTGTCCCCTTGTGCGTGTTCCCCTTGTGTTAAATAGCCTGTCTTTATCTACCCTATCAATTCCCTTCAGAATCTTGAATGTGGTGATCATGTCCCCCCTAATTCTTCTGTCTTCCAGCGAAGTGAGGTTTAATTCCCGTAGTCTCTCCTCGTAGCTCATACCTCTCAGCTCGGGTACTAGTCTGGTGGCAAACCTTTAAACCTTTTTCCAGTTTAGTCTTATCCTTGACTAGATATGGACTCCATGCTGGGGCTGCATACTCCAGGATTGGCCTGACATATGTGGTATACAAAGTTCTGAATGATTCTTTACACAAGTTTCTGAATGCCGTTCGTATGTTGGCCAGCCTGGCATATGCCGCTGATGTTATCTTCTTGATATGTGCTGCAGAAGACAGGTCTGGCGTGATATCAACCCCCAAGTCTTTTTCCTTCTCTGACTCCTGAAGAATTTCCTCTCCCAGATGATACCTTGTATCTGGCCTCCTGCTCCCTACACCTATCTTCATTACAGTCGTCTGCTCCTGTACTCACCTGTGTAAAAACATGAACTATGGGAAGGGAAAGGTCTCAGCCTGCTAACAGGAGCCAGCAGTCGTCTGCTCCTGTACCCACCTGTGTAAAAACATGAACTATGGCAAGGGAAAGCTCTCAGCCTGCTAACAGGAGTCAGCAGGCGTCTGCTCCTGTACCCACCTGTGTAAAAACATGAACTATGGGAAGGGAAAGCTCTCAGCCTGCTAACAGGAGCCAGCAGTCGTCTGCTCCTGTACCCACCTGTGTAAAAACATGAACTATGGGAAGGGAAAGCTCTCAGCCTGCTAACAGGAGCCAGCAGTCGTCTGCTCCTGTACCCACCTGTGTAAAAACATGAACTATGGGAAGGGAAAGCTCTCAGCCTGCTAACAGGAGTCAGCAGTCATCTGCTCATGTACCCACCTGTGTAAAAACATGAACTATGGGAAGGGAAATCTCTCAGCCTGCTAACAGGAGTCAGCAGTCGTCTGCTCCTGTACCCACCTGTGTAAAAACATGAACTATGGGAAGGGAAAGCTCTCAGCCTGCTAACAGGAGTCAGCAGTCATCTGCTCATGTACCCACCTGTGTAAAAACATGAACTATGGGAAGGGAAATCTCTCAGCCTGCTAACAGGAGTCAGCAGTCGTCTGCTCCTGTACCCACCTGTGTAACAACATGAACTATGGGAAGGGAAAGCTCTCAGCCTGCTAACAGGAGTCAGCAGTCGTCTGCTCCTGTACCCACCTGTGTAAAAACATGAACTATGGGAAGGGAAAGCTCTCAGCCTGCTAACAGGAGTCAGCAGTCGTCTGCTCCTGTACCCACCTGTGTAAAAACATGAACTATGGGAAGGGAAAGTTCTCAGCCTGCTAACAGGAGTCAGCAGTCGTCTGCTCCTGTACCCACCTGTGTAAAAACATGAACTATGGGAAGGGAAAGCTCTCAGCCTGCTAACAGGAGCCAGCAGTCGTCTGCTCCTGTACCCACCTGTGTAAAAACATGAACTATGGGAAGGGAAAGCTCTCAGCCAGCTAACAGGAGTCAGCAGTCGTCTGCTCCTGTACCCTCCAGTGTAGAGAGAGGGGAGGTGTACACACACTCCCATATTGCACCATTTGAACGTGGACCATCCTAAAGGATTCCTATTCCGGCCTGGTCTTATTAACACACCAATATCAGAGGATGAGAGAGACTTCCTCCCTCTCGCTAGTTGATGCAGTCATGTTGGACTTGTGACGCTCCCTCTCGCTGGTGGAGCCAGGCGGGACTTAGACTCTCCGTCTGGCTGGACTTGTTACGCTACCTCTAGTTAGTGGAGTTACGTTGGACTTTTTGTGCATACCTTGAGAGGATTTCGGAAGTTCTACTTCCCAAGCC